CTTCCTTCCGAGGAGTGGCTGGTGGGTTTGAACCACCAGCCTTCTGGTTAGCAGTCAAGTGCCTTAGGCACTATGCTACCAGAGCTCCCATTAAAACCCTATGGAACACAAAATAATGTCTGCTCTAATACTGGAGTCAACATGAGTCAGAATCGACTCAATGGCAGTGGGTCTGGCTTTATAATACTGGAAAATGAGCACCCTAGCTTGGGGCTGCCATTGAGTCACTTCTGACTCACAGAGCCCCTAGAGAACAGAGTGGAACTGCCCCATAGGGTTTTCAAGAGTGTAATCTTTACAGAAGCAAAGCCCAAACCAAACCTACTGCCTTTGAGTCAATTCCGACTCACAGCACCCCTAGAGGACACAGCAGAACTTCCCATAGAGTTTCCAAGGCTATAGTCTTTATGGAAGCAGATTGCCTCATCTTTCTCCCATGCAGCGGCTGTCAAGTTTGACCCTGACCTTTTCGCTAGCAGCCAAAAGCCTTAACCACTGCACCACCAGAGCCCCTTTCCCTAGATGGAAGGCACTCAAAATACACCACAACAGTGGGCTCAAGCAAACCAATGACCATGAAAATGCCAATGAATTGCACATGGCATGTGGGAGAAGGAGCAGAGTCGAGGTGACTCCCAGGTTAACAAGGGTGCAGGAGCAAGAAGGTTCCACTGACCGAGCTGAGGAAAAAGCAACCTGGAAGAATAGTTCAAATCAAGAGTTTGGTTCTGAACAAGATAAGATGCCTATAAAATACTCAAGCTTAGATTCAGGTTGCTGCCAGCTGCTATTGAGTTGGCCCTGACACGGCAGCGCCATGCATGGTTAGAGGACACGCTGCACGGTCCGGTACCATCCCCACGATAGGCTGCAGAGCTTTCACTGGCTGCTTTCCTGACAGAGATCGTCAGGCCTTTCTTCCTGCACTGTCTTCGTCTTGAAGCTCTGCTGAACCTGTTCAGCGTTGTAGCAACATACAAGCCTCCACAGACAGGCACATGATGGCTGTGCATGAGGTTACACTGGGTGGGAAGGAGCACCAGTCTCCCTCATGGCAGGTGAGAATTCTACCACTGCGCCACCATGGCTCCCTTTAGGTATCAGGTAGCCAGGTTGAATTTTAAGTCTGGAGTTGAGAAGAGAGGTGCAGGCTCGGTATATAAATTTGGGAGCTGGCAGGATATAGGTAATTTTTGAAGCTATGCACTAGAGATCACCAAGGGAGTGAGTGTCAGGTAGAGAAGAGAAGGGTTTATGGGTCAGCCCTGAGCTTTCCAATATTGACAGGAGGAAGCCACAAGTGTGGCTGAACAGGACCACTCAACAATCCAGGGCTTAGGGGCCAAATCCACTATCCATTCCATTGCTTGTTTTTGAAAATAAAGTTTTAATGGAACACAGCCACACCTGTTTGTTGACATGTTGACTATGGCTGTTTTCACATTGACTTACCGTATGCTTATGTATTGACGTGGCTACCTGACATCTAAAGTCCTGGGTAGCACAGTTTGCACTCAGCTGGTAACCTAAAGGTTGGAGGTTCAAATCTACCCCTCGACACTGTGGAAGAAGAGGCCTAGCAGTCTGCTTCCTGTAGAGACTGTTGTTGTTTTGTGCTGTCGAGTCGGACCCAACTCATAGCGACCCCTCCTTGGGTTTCTGAGGCAGTATAACTACGGAAGTAGATTGTCCAACCTTCCTTCCGAGGAGTGGCCCAGAAAACCTTACGGGGTAGTTTTACTCTGTATATGTGAGGTCACTCTGAGTCAGAATTGACTCAGCAGCACAAGACAACAACATGACATCTGAACTTGAGTATTGCACAAGCATCTTAAATGCAGTATGCTCACAAATGAACTCTTCCTAGCGAAAGTCTAGCAATGGCAGTATTTCAAAGAGGAGGGATAGATCACAGTAGGCTTAATTTCCTTATCTTCACTTCATTTCCACTTTAAAAAGACAAAAACAAAAACAAAAACAAACCGCTGTCGAACTGATTCAACTCATAGCAACTCCTCTTTGGGTTTCTGTGGCAGTATCTCTATGGAAGTAGATTGCCCAGTCTTCCTTCTGAGGAGGGGCTGGTAGGTTTGAACCACCAGCCTTCTGGTTAGTAGTCAAATGCCTTAGGCACTACGCCACCAGAGCTCCCCATTTAACAGTTAGGAAACAGCATTCCCCACATCTGAGCAACACGGATCTGTTGTTGTTGTTGCTAGGTGCCGGCAAATAGATTCCAACTCTTAGCCAACCCGTATGACAGAGTAGAACTGCCCCATAGGGTTTCCTACAGTGTGACCTTTACAGAAGCAGATCACCAGGTCTTTTTTCTGCAGAGCCCTAGGGTGCACTCAAACTATTAACCTTTCAGTGAGCAGCCAGTGCATTTAACCATCTGTGCCACCAGGACTCCTTAACTCAGGGCTTAAAAAAAAACCAACCCTCTGCCATTGAGTCGATTCTGACTCATAGCCACCCTCATTGGGTTTCCAAGGCTGTAAATCTTTACAGAAGTACATTGCTCCATCTTCCTTCCATGGAGCAGCTGATGGGTTTGAAACACCAACCTTCTGGTTACCAGTCCAGTGCCTTAGGCACTGCACCACCAGAGCTAGCACACCAATAAATACTTGCCCCTGGTTACCTACCAGGATAATGATGGCCACTGGCCCCATGAAGCTCCAGATAAAGCCTTTATCAAGATTCAGCCAGCAACTGTTGAGAGAGGGCAAGAACCATTAGCTGCTTTCGATTACCTATATCCTTGGATGTCACATAGTCTGGGTTCAAATCCCAGCCTCCTTCCTACCCAGTACTTAGGCAAGTTACCAGATCTCTCATGACCCGGACAAATAACCTGAGCTGCTGCTGCCGCTAATACGAATGTGTGTCTTGTTGATGTGGGAGTGAATGAGCCAGCAGACATTGCTGTCAGGTGCAAGTGAGATAGCCGACTCCCGGCGACCCCCCAGGTACGACAGAACCCAGCGTTGCCCAGTCCTGCACCATGTCCCAATCATTGTTAGGTTTGAGCCCATTGTTGCAGCCACTCTGTCAATCCATCTCTGCTTGACCAAGCATGATGTCCTTCTCCAGGCACTGGTTCCTCCTGATCACATGACCAAACTGTGTGAGTGACGTCTCGTCATCCTCACTTCTAAGGAGCATTCTGGCTGTGCTTCTTCCAAGACAGCTTTGTTCACTCTTCTGGCAGCCTGTGGTACATTCAATATTCTTCACCAACACCATAATTCACAAGCAAAGACCAACAGAATCACTAGGAAGATTAAATAGTGCAATGTGTAGAAAGCATTTGGCTAAAGGGTATGACAAGAGATAAGGCTGAATAAATAGTTTAAAACAGAACCTATACACCAATATTCACTGCAGCATGATTCACAACAGCCAAAAGGTGAAAACAACCCAAGTGCCCATCAACAGATGAATGGATAAACATAATGTGGTCCATCCACACAATGGAACATTATTCTACCATAAAGAAAAATGAAATACTGATATGTGTTATGACATAGACGAACTTTGAAAACATGCAGAGTGAAATAAGTCAGTCACAAAAGGACACGTATTGTATGATCCACTTACATGAAATATCAAGAATAGGAATTGTATAGAGACCAAAGTTGACCTGTGGTTACCAGGGGTGAGAGGTTCAGGGGGGAAAGTAATCAGTGCTTAGGGGACTCTGAGCTTCCGTTAAGGATGACAGAAATTTTTGGAAATGCATAGTGGTGATGAACATAATGTCACTGAATTGTACATGTTGAAAAGGTTGAAATGGTAAATGTTGGGTTTTATATATGTATGTCTGTATTGATATATATGTATGTGTGTGGATTAAGGAGCTCTGGTGGTACAGTGCCTAAGGTAATTAACTGCTAACCAGAAGGTTGGTGGTTTAAACCCACCAACCACTCTGTGGAAGGAAGACTGGGCAATCTACTTCTGTAAAGATTTACTGTCTCAGAAACCCAAAGGGGGTCATTATGAATTGGAATCAATTCAATGGCAGTGAGTTTTGTTTGTTTGTTTGTTTTTTGGTGTATGGATTACATCACAACATAAAGAAAATGAAAATCCTCACAACTGGATCAATAAGCAGCATCATGATAAATGGAGAAAAGATTGAAGTTGTCAGAGATTTCATATTACTTGTTTCCACAATCAACACCAATGGAAGCAGCAGCCAAGACATCAGACAATGTACTCTCCATTCAATAACAAGTTTCAAAGTCTCTTCTGACATCCATTTTGGTATTTTCTTCCTTTCCTGTCTTTTTAATGAAAGCAAAAACTTTCTTCTTGTATGATGGCCTTGATGCTATCCCACAATTTCTCTGGTCTTCAGTCATTGGTGTTCAACACGTCAAATCTATCCTTCAGACGGTCTCCAAGGTCATATTTTGGCTTTTGTGGACTTTCTTTTTTATTTTTATTTTTTAATTTTATTGTGATTTGGGTGAAAGTTTACAGAGCAAATTCATTTTCCATACAACAGTTCACATATACTTTGTCTCATGACATTGAATGCAATTTTCCACAGTGCACCAGCTCCCCTCCCACTTCCTCCCCATAGTTACCTCTTCCCTATGTCCTTCCCTCCTGTGCACTTCTGCCCCTTGAAGCTGTCTCCCTGTGCATATACAGCCCTTCTATTCTCCCATTATTGACTCTCCCATTATTGATATCTATCTAGTGTAAATGTTCAGCTCATATGCCTGTCTTTTGTTTGGCTGGAAGCCAAAGGAGTGGGTTCAATTCCAGACATGAAGG